AGTATCCTGTCCTAGAGGAAATTGAAGTTCTGAAACACTGCGTACTTATCTGGATGGTTCATTTCCCTGGTCCAGTCACCCACTGCAGCTAAAGGTTACAGGTTTGCATTCCCCAGATTCCAGTACACCAAAGTGAATCCTGCACATTGACGTCATTTTGAGCACAGAAACCTTGTGTTTGCCTTCTCTTTTTCATAAATACCGTCAGGCTTGGCAGCGGTGGGCTGAGTTCAAACTAGGTTTACTGACCTGACTTAAAATACGGTTTTAAACAAAGTTTAGAAAGTGCTGTTGATTCGTTTGAAACGAGAACAGTTTGGCAGCTCCAGTCAGCAGTTTCGTCAAGCGAAGCACGGCAAGATTTGTAGTGGGAGATAGTACCTTTTATTAGGCCAGCTGGTGTTGGGGGAAACAGATGCGTGTTTATATACACAAGCGTTTCAAGTCTGAAATAGAAATAGCAAACTTGGAAGTTAAGTACACACTGAGCGCAGTTGTTCTAATTCAATTATAAACTTAATTATACTAACCAGTTAGACGGTTTGAGGGAGCAAGGGGTGCTGGTACCGATGTAGCACGGCGAGAAGCTGACAGAGATAAGGTGGTCCAGGTCACGCATTTATCCCCATGGAAGATTTGTCTGTGTCTGGGCTGCTGCTGTTTATGGGATGGTGCTGTGACCAGTGCCGAAGGAGCGGTCTGGGTTAAAAATAAATTCTAAAAAAAAGAAGGTAACTAGTGATCTGATTCACACCATGGCCTCGCGGTTGAATGAGTGTACCTGAGGGATCGGTGAGCACGAGGGTGGGAATTTCCTGAGCTTTTTGGGCACTAAAGCCAACGTGGCGTTTATGTACCTGAAGTCTGTTGGTTTTAGGATTCAGAAAAGTTAGTGTTTTCATGATATTTTGTAAGTTGCCACGGCTCAGGATACAGAGGTTAAAGGTGGGGTGGTAGTTTCGTGGTGCTAAAAAGTTACACACTTCTGTTGTAAAATGATGTAGCTAAGTGAGAAACTGAACGTGAACAGCTCTGAGTTTACTTCACTGACTCTTCCAAAGAAAAAAAACAAGATTATTATCGGTACTACATTTCAAAACCAATTATTTGAGCCAGAAGGTTAGGCAGGAGGTGAATAAGAAGCTAACTTTTGGGTACGTGGAAGCAGGCAGATCACATAAGCAATATTTTTCAATTCTGCTACAGTTCCTTTTCCATTTATACACCATGGTGTACACTTTCACATGTTTACTGTTTCTACGCAGAGAAACTTGACATGTGTTTAATCATTGTCCCAGAACAGTGTAAAGGAATTGGTAACTGTTGCTAAAACTTGTTTTTCAGTAGCCTTGAAACAGTAAGAAGGAGCTAAGTTACTTTGAACTACTTAAAGGTCAGGTCTACATTAGTGTTCCTAGGATTAAAAAAAAAAAAGAACTAATTTTCAAATGAATTGTACAAAGTCTTTGGGATGGTAGCACTTGCCTTCAGACTGCTTTCGGCTAATAGTGGAGAAAATTCTCCTTGCTCTGGAAGTGCTGAAGTGCTCGCGTTTGAATTCTCACCTTGCCCGGGGATCCGCGCTTTGGTGGTGAATCCCCCGACACGTTTCCAGTGCAGGAAGGCACGCTGGAAAAACCATTCTCACACAGAAAAACCATTCTCTCGAACTGTGTCTGCAGCAAAGTTAAATGCAGCCCATTAAATACGGGCCGAAGTGGCCCGCTGAGAATATTTTTTAAACTTTTGAAAGAGTCTTTAAAGTTCACCGTGTTTCTCTTGAACTTTGAAATACTCTAATGTCTTGTGGGCCAGGGTATAGGCGTGTGCGTGGGGATTGTGGGGAGGAGGAGCCATGCTGCCAGCAGCTGGGAAGGAAAAGCAAGCCACCGTTTCTTCGATACCAAGCCCAGTCCCTGCTTAGAGAATCGCTGATGGTTTGTGGCTCGAAGATGAGCAATTTGCCAGCTCCAACCCACTTATTAGTTTATGTGTGCACCTTGATCTCCCCACCCCAGACACTCCCAAGGTACCGTGTCTATTTAGTTCTAGTTTACGGTTCTTTAATCGCTCCTGAACGTAGCACCCTATACCTTGTGGTCTAACAACTGCTGTCATGGACTACCTAAATAATCGGTAATAAGACGTGACAAAATGTCATTTTGAAATGGTGATGATCCAAAGATGTTAGACTTGAGGTGAAGTTGTAGTGTTGCAGCCCTTTACTCTCTTTCGTCACTGTCACTTAGTGCAGCTATAAAAGTGCCCTATGCCACTAAAAGATTAACAAAAGGAATTGAACCATTTTGTAACCTGGCTGAGCTTTAGCATGCTCATCTTTTCATGCGGAAAATATTTTCATATTGTTTAAATTACCTTCTAAAAATATTTGATGTTTTTACTACCTCATTAACTGTAAAGAACTGATATTGTTCCCCCTCCTCGGCCCACCCCTTTCGACTTTTCTGAAAATAGCATGCATATGCATACGTCCTTTGTCCACACTGAAGCCTGTGTAGGAGCCACTTGTTTGAATGGTGGTGTCAGTGCAATGAGGGGGAAGGTCGTTTTACAGAAGTGACTTAACAGAGCAATATCCCACATTCGTGGCAGGCACGCTGCTCCTGTAATAAATGTAAATCCATTTATTGCACATCACTGACTTCAGCTATTTTATTTTAAATTCTGTAACCAGATCAAGGTCAAGGAAGCAAAAGATGAAAGGAGAAGGGGAAAGGAAGCCAGAAGAGGGGAAGAGGCAGGCAGGGAAGGGGAAGCAGGACAAGGAATGGTTCAGAGCGGGGTTTGAAGGAGGTGGGCAGAATAGAGCTCTCGCGTTTAGAGACTGGAGACATGAGCATTACTTGTTCAGAGGAACAAAGAAGGAAAATGGGTTAGTCTTCTGGGCGTGTAAGAATTGGGAGTATTGCTTAGATTTTTCTCTTTGTTTATAATTATGTATTGGTACTGTTTCTAAATACCAGGTATACTGTTGATAGTCCTTGCAAATGTATTATTCTTTTTGTAGCCAGTTGCTGAACAGAAGTACTTCTGGACTTCTGACGTGCCGAGGAGTTGCTGCAACGACTGGGAATTCAGAAGGAGGGGTATCCCAAGGCCATTTTAGAATATGCTGTTACAAGATTTTACTGTAGTGTCTCAGTCGGAGATCAATTAAATGTGCTTTTCGTTTGATTCACGCTGGAGAACAAACAGTCTGGATCTTCCGATGCCTCTTGAGGTCGATATGTTTCTTTCACCGAAGGGAGTGTTTTGCTTGTGTTTAATTTCTTCTGCAGTAGTGTGAAATTTCGTTTTAAACCCAAATGGCCCTTACAGTTTCACTCAGACTTTATATATATAGTTAAGTGATAGTTAATCTGTTCTCTCGAATAGATACTTTTCCTCTGTCTGAAAGGGTTTGCAGTATCAAAAGTGAAATCGTAGGCACAAGAAGCAGCCAAGTGTAAATGTCTGTAGAACAAGGTAGGCTCTGACAGCTGCCATTTAAATATGTGCTAAGGCTGGTGAGATTTGTGGTAAGTTGTTCCAAACTTGCAGTGCTCTTTGTATCTGTGAAGCTCCACATGAGCAGTTTGCAAGCGTGGTATGTTTTTGCATACGTGTAAGGGAAAGGAGAAGGATGATGTGAAGAAGCTGGCTGACTCCAGCAAATAATCCGATCCAATTATGTTGTTGATGTTTAACACTAACTTTACCGAGATGGTATTTCTATAGCATGTAAATTGTGTGAGTCATGCGGAACACAGAAGACTTTTCATGGAAGCTTGGGGGAGCGGCCTTAAGAAAGTGAAACATGGTGGCTTATGTTTCCTTTACAGTGAAATAATTCAGAAATAATTGGAGCAAACCCAGGAACTGATTTTCGGAGATGCTCCGCTCTCTGCAAGTAGAGACAGCCTTGGTGGCCACAGAAGTTCCCCTGCAGGGGCAGAGGATGTCTAGGCATACTGCGCCTAGCTTGGTGCAGTGTCTTCCCCCTGTGTATTGCAGAGAGGGAGTGAAACGTGGATCAGCTTCATCCTCCTCAAATCAGAGGCATTTAGTTTTCAGATACTGCTGCAGCCTTAAAGCTTGCAGACAGTGTGGGGCATACGGTCCCTTCTACTCCTTCAGGACCTTGCACAAAAAACATGCATTTGCTCCCACACGTAGGAGAGAACTGGTCCCCAAGAAGGCAGTTTTGTATTTTCCAGAAGAAAGAAGTTGCCCTCCTTGTATTATTTATCACATATATAAAATCAATTTGTGTGTATTTGATTTAAACTTTCCTTTGAGGTTTATAATCCATTGTGTTTTTGAAGGAATTTTCAATAACTTCTCATCCTAGTCCAAAAGCATTTATTAAAAGCAGCTTTAGGCAATCGGTACCTGCACTACAGCAGGAAAGCAGAGCTATTGGCGACTGTTGCTTTATGTTTACTAGTTTGAACTCCGCCCTCTGAAGATTTGTGCTGTAGTTTCTCTAAAGCCTTTCTGGTATTAAGTACCTTCTCTGGGAGATTTGCTTGCTCCTGCACGCTTATAAGTGGACACAGGCTAATGTCTTTTCCACTTAAAAGAAACATTTGAAAAAGTCTGTCAGGTTTAAGAACCGTGAGCAATAGTTTCCTGAGCCCAGAAAATAAAAATAGAGGTTTCTTACACAGATGATCGTTTCAAAAATGCTTTCCTTTCAGTATTGCAGACATCTGTTTTTCTCTAAACTGTGTTAGGCATTTGTTTTGAGTGGGCAGTAGCAGAAATGTGGAAGATGATATTAGTGATAGATTGCAAATAATTTGATCTGTGTTTTTGAAAATTACAAGTAGGTAATTGCATCTCTGTAGAGTTAGTCCATTGCACAGTCGGGATCCTAGAAAAACGTGACCCTAGAGAATCCTACTGATCATAGAGAGTCTTATAATCATGAAGCCACTTCACTTTTGCTTTCAGAAATGGAAATGACCGTTTTGTTCTTTGTTTTAGGATTCCTGTGATCTCTCGTATGTGGAAAGAACGCTAGCAGAAAGGTGAAAAAATGGGTGTTAAAACATTCACTCATAATTCCCCTGCTCACAGTCAGGAGATGCTGGGGAAGCTGAACATGCTCCGCAACGATGGACATTTTTGTGATATCACCATCCGCGTCCAGGACAAAATCTTCAGGGCGCACAAGGTGGTTTTGGCAGCCTGCAGCGACTTCTTCCGTTCCAAACTCGTTGGCCAAGCAGAAGACGAGAGCAAGAGCGTGTTAGACCTGCACCATGTGACAGTGACTGGTTTTATACCTCTTCTGGAATATGCTTACACAGCAACACTATCTATTAATACAGAAAACATTATTGATGTGTTGGCTGCAGCCAGCTACATGCAGATGTTCAGCGTTGCTAGCACGTGCTCAGAATTCATGAAGTCCAGCATTTTATGGAATACGCCCAACAGCCAGCAAGAGAAGGTGCTGGATGCAGGACAGGAGAACAGTGCAAACTGCAATTTTACTTCTCGAGACGGCAGCCTTTCTCCAGTTTCTTCTGAGTGCAGTGTCGTGGAAAGAACCATTCCTGTTTGCCGAGAGTCGCGAAGAAAGCGCAAAAGCTACATAGTTATGTCTCCCGAGAGCCCCCTTAAGTGTAACACACAAACAAGTTCCCCCCAAGTGCTGAATCCTTCAACTTCTTACCCGGAGTCCAGAAATCAGCCCGTGGACTCGTCTTTAGCTTTCCCCTGGACTTTTCCTTTTGGAATTGATCGAAGACTTCAGTCCGAGAAGGTGAAGCAGGCGGAGAACTCTAGGACTTTGGAAATGCCTGGACCCTCCGAGTCCAACAGAAGAATTGCAGATTACGTGACTTGTGAGAGCACAAAAGCCAGTTCTCCCCTTGTGATTGAAGAAGACGTGCGCGTCAAAGTGGAGAGGTTAAGCGATGAGGAGGTTCACGAGGAAGTATCGCAGCCTGTTAGCGCATCCCAGAGCTCTCTGAGCGATCAACAGACAGTCCCAGGAAGCGAGCAAGTGCAGGAAGATCTCCTGATCAGCCCACAGTCTTCCTCTATAGGTACGACCATTTCTGGGGTTAGATCTATGTACAAATAGGTGTGTGTGCACTTGTGATTTTACTGGAGGAACTCCGCTTCACGTTTTTTCATGCTTTACTTTTGTGAAACTGCATTTTGTTTCCCGTTTTGTGAAATGTTACATATAAGCCCCTGGTGGGGGGACGGGACTTGGAGCTCTTTAAATAACTTTGCAGAAGGCGGCTAAGAAAGGTAAGCCTGTTGATAGACCTCCTTATTCGGAAGAGATTCGTAACCCCTCTTTACCTCTGGTTGCTTGACTGGGGAAAATAATTCTGTTTCCAGTAGTGTCAAAAGGCATGATCTCAGCTGAGCTGCAACACCAAATCTGAAAGACTTGTGGCCGTAGCCGCAGAGGGATAGAACGGTACTTTGCATCACACATAAAATCTTGTATAATCATGACAGAGCGCCTTTGTAAGAAGATTTGCAAAATAAGCGGTGGAACACTGTCATCTTAATGCCCCAGACGAAAACAAAACCACACAGTCATAATATTGAGAATCTTTCCATTTCTGTGGGATTCGGTTCTCAAGTTGCTTCTTCAAGTACTGCCAATTGCTGAGAGAAACCTTTTTTCCATGAAAGACAATTTGAAGCCAATTTCGGGTTCTTCTAGCAGGCTGTTGTTTATTAATAGCTAATACTTGAAGGTTACTGTAACAATCCTTTTTTTCCTCTTTGCACAGAAGGCATTGAGTGGCTTTTAGTAAGTCGGAAGATAGGGGGTTTGCAATATTTCTAGTTTAATTACCAAATTTTTGCCTAAGTCAGCTATTTTGCTTTCAGTTAAGTGGCTTGACCTGTGCTCGGTAGAGTTTGTTTACTGGAAGATTTTTAATAAAGCCTGTTTTGTTTGAAGACCGTAAGAATGGCAAATGTACTGGTCTGCTTCATTCAAATAATGTATACATGAAAGGCTGCTTCAGTTAATTAAATAAATAAACTACAACAAAGTAAATAAATGTAGCCTAGTAGCCTGCATTATTTGTTGTGTTTGGTCAGCGTAACAGTGTGCCTTCTCTGAAGAAAGTGAGTGTTAGATCAGTCCGACCATTCCAGGATTGCAATATATAATCAGTGCTGTTAAGCTATTCAGGTAGTACTCACTACAAAGAAATGAAAATATTTTCCATTTATCCCATCCTTCAAGACTTTATGGTGTTGGTTTTGTTTGTCGGTTTGTGTAGCTCGTGTTGATATTTTAGATCGGTAATGGTTTTTCCAAACGAAAATGTTTTATTTACTGGAGACAAGGCTGTTTGCCTTTTCTGAGAAGCAGACTTAATATCAGTTTAAATATAAATCTTTAAATGTAGTTTGCCAAAATAGCGCATAGATGAAAAACTAAAAGAAACAATTTGTTTGCTGGGTAGTCTCCAGGAAAAGCGGTCCTTGTTCAAGAAGAGGTTTAGTTGGACTCAGTTTTTAACTCATTATAGTAGGAACTTCAGAAAGGCCTCGCCAGGGCCATGTGATAAGAGATGCAACTTATTTCATCAACGTTAATTGTACCATCACAGACAAAATAGAACGAGTAGAAATAATTATTAGAGAAAGTTAAAAATAGCATATCAAGTGAAAGGAGGGAGTTTTACCAACTATAAATATCATACCCAAGCAGCTTAAAAGAACAAACTGGGTGTAAATTCCAGATTACAGACGAGTAGCAGACGATCTACGGAAGTTTTCAGAGGACATCTCTTGGAGTTAGAAATATCAGAAAAATTGCGTAGTCAAAAGTGGCTTGAAGGAATTAGGACGTGAGAATGTGAGACTAGGACTGAATTGTAGAGAAAGAGGTGCCACTGAATGCTACAAAATCTCCTTTTCTAAGAGAGTCTTAGTGGTAAACAAAAATTACTTTGAAACGCACCCCAATAGTAAGGCACCTTACTGAATTCTGTTCTTGCTTTAGCCAGTTTCCCGAAATGATTTCTGTTGATAAGCAACTTTGCACATCCGTCTTCAAAAGCTATCTGTTTTGAAGCCACGTGATGTTTTGGGGAAAGTTTTCCATTTTCTATTTCCTATTCTAGCTTTTGTACCACTGAGGTCGTGTACCTGACCATTTGTACGGCATGGGGCAAAGGATCTTAGGCTTTAGTGATTATAATGTTTAAACTTAAATGTCTGTTACTGAGGATATTAGTACAGCATGTTCTTCCTTAAAATGGCTACAGAGAGAAAAAAAATATGCTAGCCCCAAACCTTCAAAGTACAAAGCTGTTCTTTGTCCGTGAATATGTTTGAATTAATGTTTAGTGGTCTTTGCATAACATTATTAACTATCCTCATAATAGGTTTTATTCACATTTTGCTATAAAGAGAAACAGCGCTTTTGCTTTTTAGCACAGTTCGCATGTTCCTAATACATGATAAGGCACGCTTTGTAGCTGGAAAGCACTTTTTACCTCCCAAAGATGTATTTCCTTATGCAGTAACATAACAACAGTAAATGGAAGCAGCAAGATATGTTAAAAGTACAGCTTTCTCTTCCTTGAACATATTTTCCTCGTATAATTGCATGTATTTATCTCAATGTTTTATAGTGCATTTATAAAAGCATCCCTGCCTCTCCTTCCGATATTGCAAAAAGCTCTTATTCACTCTTTGGGCAATTTCAAGAATTGTTCATTTGCAATTTATTATATTTGGAAGCACTTTATAATATGGAAGGAGACGTGAAGCAGGGCCTTGATAAATAAGTTATTATGGTTGCAACAATAGTTATGTCTGAGAAGATATTTTCATAACTCATTGACACTGTTTCCATTTGAGAGGTGAAGGCATAAAATTAAACCTGAGAGCAATTTGGCTTATTTTTCAGTAGACTTTCGGTTAAGTATTTCATGAGAAAGAAGGATAAATCAAAATGGGATAAATTTTTGTAACTTTATAGATTGCATAGTAGCTGAATTTCCCAAACATAGTTTGTCAGCTTGTAACAAAATTAAAAATTTTGATTCTATTAGTGTTATTTTGAAACTGCTAGAGATGCAAGTTTCCTCCCATCACTGGCCCCCATAACATGAGGTCGCATTAGGACAATAATCTTTCACTTCAGTAAGGTTTTGTAGAACACCGTCCTTTATAGGGACAGCCTTTTTTGGAGGCACTGCTCCCGTTCTTTTTGACAAAATAAGCACATTTTCTGCTCATCTTCCCCTGTCTTTGTTCCTTCTCTTTGGTTTTCCATTTTGTCTGACACTTGTCATTGTAGACCTAATGATACTTGATTTTCCCAGTGAGCTTTAGAGAAGGGTTCCCAAATTCGGTTTGCTCATGTACCACTCTCTTAGAAAGCAGAATTATTTTTACCACAGGAGCGAGAGCAGCTCCTAGCACTGTCCTCAGCTTCGCTCGTTCTCAAGGTGTAGGTGTAGAGAGAAATTGCCTTCCCCCATCCGTCCTCATCTCACGTGGGTTCAGTGGTGGACACCCAAAGGCTGCTTGGCTGTTCAGAAAAGTTCGAGCGGTGCTTAGTATTCAGTCTCAACAGAGGGAAAAGGAGGCAAGATGGAATTACTTCTGTGCCACTTCCAAGCGGCTTTCATGCTACTAATCATACACATGTCATGGTTTGGGAACCCCTGTTTTGGAGAGGAATGACAGCAACTCTGATCCTTTTGAAATTTGGCAGAGTTCAGTCATTCATTTTTCTCATCTCCCATTGCACCCGTAAACATCATCAGAGGAAAAGGAGGAATGCGAGGAGATCCAGTCTGCTCTCTGCACTCACTTTAAAGATGGAACAACACATGGTTTATCTAAATGGTCACACGTAACCAAACTAGACCATTTTTTTTTATCAAGGGGTATGGTTGGCAGGGGGTGGGTGCCGGTTCTTAGGATTGTTTTAGTACTGTACTGCCAACTTCCCTCTCTGTTACGGTGACATCAGGCCAAAATAACCTCGCTTAATACGCCTAAACAAGGATTGAACGCCAAACTGCAAGTGGTGATGAGGGAGGCCCGCCTGAGCAACAGCCACATCAGGTGAACGAAGTCGTAGTTTTGCTTCAGTGCTGCATTTACCTTAGATTCTGTTTCCAAAACCCACTTGAGCTACATTTGCTTGATTGTTGGTGAACTGAACGAAGCTCTGGAATGGTTTTGTGTATTCATTTCTCTTACAAACAGATGTTTGGTCTCTTTTGTGTTGCATTTCTGATTTCTCAGAGGGCTCTTCCTGTCTCAGCATCTTATCAATAAATGAAGGCATTATCAATGAATACATATACATATGGACGATTTGGAACACAAAAGCAATGTAGCATAGCAGGATTGAACTCCTTGTTGCTCAGGAAGTCTTGAAAACTGATGAAATAGTCCCTGTAGGTGAAGGTAACATTTCTGCTTTACAGTGTTAGTACTGGATGTGTTTTCAAAACTCTGGCTGTCTTTAACATAGATTCTTTCCATTTTCTAGGTGTGCCGAATATTTGCCCTTTATTGAGTTGTCCATTTGCTAGATAATCCGTGCAGAGGAGAAGTTGAGCTGGAACACGTTGCTTCTGGGTTTTCTAAATGATTTTCTCAAGACAATTCTATTATCTTATCACCCAGGAAGCAGTGTGTCTCAGAGATTTGGGAAAGCAAGCTTTATGTGTAAATTTTACCTGCCCCCCCAACCCTTTTTGAACACTTATTTGCATTAAATTGCCCTTTTTTCTTTGCCTAGGCTCAATAGATGAGGGGGTTACGGAGGGATTACCCACACTCCAAAGTACCTCTGGCACTAACGCTCATGCAGATGATGATGATCGGTATGTACCAATGCGGTGTGCAAACTGTTCCGCAGCAAGTGCTGTGCTGTAATTAACCTACCCAGCCTTAATCCCAGAATGTTCAGTTGTTTGTACATCTACTTGTCTGTGTTGATCAAAGTACAATCAGTGCCTGAAGGATCAGATGCTTTAGAAGAATGTAGGTGATGAAAGTCAGAATTTGCTTACTTGTTGCTTTTCATTTCCTGTCTATTTCCAGGCAACACTGGTGAAGAAAGATATTCAGGTTTTAGCGTTTTCTTCATCACTGCTCTTTATTAATAAATAAAAAATGAAAAGAGAGATCTTTACTGTGAAACAGGTGTGGTAGTTGCATGCATGCGAAAGCTGACGTAAAGCCACAAAAGCAACAAAATGAAAACACGTACCTCGTCTCGGCTTCACCAGAGTTTGCTATTGCCGTAAGCCACGGAGCAGGCAGAGCAGCCTTAAATCCTTCCTCCCAAACTTTCTGCATGTAGCTTCTTACCAAGATGCTGCTGCGTGTCATTTACTGTAAATATTTAGCGGCCTTTTGCTGTGCTGGGATGAGTGATTTATTAAGGGAATCCCTTATAAGGGAAGGCTGGCAGAGAAGGCCGAACTAAAATGGGTCTGTTTGGTCAAAGATGTATCGTAGTTCTGTTAGAGCGAAGCGACGTACCTGCAAGTGGCATACAAGGGTACACACAGCTGGTTTGGCTTTTATTTCTTTGCTTTTGTGGTACGTGTCAAGTATGGCGTATATCTAGCTATTCCCTTTCTAAGCAAAATTATTAAAGTATTGACAAGCTGGCTTTTGCCTAGTACTTTGTTAGACAAGTGGGTCTGAGGAAGAAGTGTGAACCTTTGGGAGTTGTTTCGGAAACTGTGTCAAGTGAAACTCCCTGTAGAGATAACTATCGAGAGCTGCATTTTCATAGCTCATAAAATCTTTCTTGCCATTTCCATCTAAAACCTGTCCCGTTGTAGGATTAAATCTGAAGGGAAAATAACTGCCTCAATAAGATTTTTTTGTATGACAGAGAAGACTTTATCTATCTGCTAACAAACCTCAGTATAAAAATAATACCCAGTACTTAGGGTTTGGATTGAGAGTAGGAGCACATGTTGCATTAGAACTAATCCAGGCTTTTAAAGCTATAATTCTAAAGTCAAGTGGCATACATATTTTCAGTGGATTATTTCAGAAATTTCCTATGAAATTGCAGAGCTTCGGCACAAACTGCATAGAAAATTCAAAATATATAAAATCCTTTTAACACACTGAAAATTCCTGCTAAAATATCTCTTCCATGCAGGGAGGGAAAGAATATTTGCCTTAGTTTATGCCCAAGTTTGAAAATAATTAGTCTCAGAGTAACAGAAGCATCAGCAAAATGAACTAGAATTTGCACATTGTTTATATAACAATAAGGGAACTAATAGTTATGGGAATTCATTACAATTTCAGACTCCAGAACTAAAATTTTCTACCAAGTGATTTATTTTATAAATTCAAATGAAAGTGCCAAGACTGTACTTACTCCGTGAATCGGTTAAATGTGTAAAATGGTGCTTTCAAGTCCTAAGAAGTTTTCTTTCACATGCGTGCGCGTATACGCCTGTCAGGGTGGGACAGTGCATTCTGATGCGCTGTGACAGCCCTTCAAGCACTGGACTTTGGAATTCCCATTTCAAGCGCAGGATGGGCACATCAGCAAATAAATACGGCCAGTGCAGCAATTTGGGCACGCAGTTTTAGGTGCATAAAACGAGATAATACAGAATTCTGAATAAAACCAAGCGTTCAGCTCTAGCAGAATCAAATGAGAACACGATTAATAAATCATACGGATGGGGAAAGTTTCCCTCACTTTTTGTTTGGTATTTTCTTTAATGCACCTTTAGTTTAAGTCCAGGTTGTACATTGCTTTATTAGTAGAGATTCTCAAAATGTCAAAGTCAGTGGTGAGTGGCCAATGCAAATTTATATTGAGAAATATGTATTTGAGTATGTATTTATTATCTTTCTATTCATAAAAAAGAGCGAAAGACTGTTCCATCTCAAGGTCTTCCAATATGACATCCGTATCACTGCGGAAAGAATCATAAATAGTTCAAAATTTAGGATATCCTATCTTTTGAGTTTCTGTGTGAAATAATTAACACAACTGATTGATCCTCGTCCATAATCAGTGTTTCATAAACAGCAGGTCACATGTAATTGTTGTCAGCTTAATAGGCACACAGGAATCTGTTAATTATTAAAACTGCTGTTTCGCAGTGAAATCTGATACATGCTTTCTCTGATATTTCGCATTTGGATTGCAATACACTTTTCTAGCATAGATCTATAATTCAGCCGTGGCTGGTTTAACAGTTAGTCTCTGTATCAGTTCGTGGCTGCATTTAAAAAGGAGTTGCAAAGGCTCAACTGTAAAAGAACTCTCTGATCCAATATAATGAGAACCTCCACTTTTCTAAGATAATTGTTATTTACAAACAGAGGACATTTCTAGGCTCACTGAGCATTCTGGCATTCACGTTTGTCAGAGTTTAGTTCTACATAGTTAAATATGTATATAATCTCTTGGTGAAAAGAAGAAAAAATTGCACGTAGAATACTTGAGTGTTACGGTGAAAACATTTTAAACCTATCTCTGTATCTAGCTGTTACAGAAATTCTCTGAGATGTTAGACGAATCTCAACTGTTAAATGCCACATTTATCACAAATTGCAAGTCATGAAAAATTGAGCGTATGTGGGGAAAAAGAAGCAGGGGAGAGAAAATATAATTGTGTTTCAAATGTAATTTCTTCGTTGTGCTAAGGTCCGCAGTTGTGTCACCAGGAGGTATTTCAGCCTGCTTGCAGTGTAAGGATGGAAAAAGACATGCCAGTCACTGGTAGCTGGAGAGCCTCGTGATTCCCATTTTATCTGCTTTAACCAGCCTTTCTCATCATGAAGCTTTTATGTAGGAAAAAAACAAACTTTATTTTAAATTTCTTCTAGGGAGATTGTCCCCATAGCACTTCTCCTTTCTGTTTCAATTGCAGAGAAGCTGGCACCAGTACAGGCTTTGAGGATGAGCTAGCCCGAGAAAGCTGGAAACAAAAGGAGAGCTGTGGCTCCTAATTTCTACCCTAGTTTGAGTGTCTCCCTAGAAAGCTCTAGGAGCACGATACGCTTTTGCCTCTTCACAATCCCCTAACGCGGGAATGAGGGAGGAAGGACCTAAGAAGCATGTTACCAGAAGATGAAGTTCTCTATAAAGCAAGTTAAACGTCACAGAAAACCAAAATGTAATTCTTATTTGAGCACACTAGACGTGTATATCTACATGTACATCTAAGAGCAGGAGTTCCTGCTGCCCAGCCAGTCATCCCTTTATCACCCCTGCATTGCAGCTGTCACTTCTGTTGGCACATAGCTGTGAAAATTTTGATTGTGAATTCTCCAGTCGGCTGAGCGCAAGGAAACCTTTTCTGAAGGGATTTGCCCCTTAGCCAGACATTTGTCATGTCCATCCTGGGCCCAAATCAGTTTGGCTATTTGATTATTAGGTTATTATGGCAGCTGGACTTCTATGCCTTATGCTTTTTTTGCACTGTTGGTCTTTTTTTTTTAATATTTATTTTTGGATAACAGACCTCTCTGTTAGTCTACGTTGATGGAGTTTCACTGGTAAAGTGGAAAGCATATGGTCATACCAACTCCAGAGGCAAAACTAGTGTTTCCACATCTGAGTAGAGTAAAATCTGTCCTTTGTCTAGTGATCTGCTCACAAAGAGGAACAGGAGTGCCAGAGTTTATGTCAGAAATTTGGTTAGACAAATCAGGACCTATGTTTGAAAACACCCTCACTTACTTCAGGTGCATTTGGCGAGCCATCAGTTGGCTTTTTCAGACCCCTAATTGGCAGTGAACTACATTCTGCCAGGCCCAGGATATGAGCTGGTAACTTCCCTCTTGCAAATACTCCCTTTAGCAAAGATCAACAAGTCTGTCAACATCTATCTTTTCCACAGCTCTCTAGGACCCTACTGTGTGTAAAAAGAAGTGAAGGACAATAAAATTTCTTCCTTAGAGCAAATATTATTCCAGTTCCATGTGAGACCAGAAATCCTTACGGGTTTTACAGACTGATTGGTACTGAGCTCCTGCAGGAAACACTTTTATCTTGTGTATATTGAGAGATACCTGGTGCTCTCTCTCTCCAGATAAATTTTACAACTGGAACTTTTGCTACTGAGACCCATCATTGTACTCAGAATTCAGATACCGGGTTCTCACAGTTGTATTGACATCCATTTCCAGAGTAGATAAAGACAATGAAGGTATTGATTTTAAAGAGATGACCCTGGTTCTTGTCCTCCTGTGCTGATCCGGTCTGTGGATTTTTGTATGATGCGTATGCAAAGTGCACGTTTCATTCCTGTGGACGTTCGAAGTCCACAAATTCAGCCTAAGCTTGAAACCAACAATCTGGGCTCGAGATGGAAGCAGACCAGCAAAAGGATTTGTTCAGTTAGGGAGACTGTCTGACTATGTGCAACAGGAGACATCGTTGTACTTTTTTCTCAATACATTTCAGACATTACAGTTTAGTAAAACTAAAATTGCATTGTTCTGGCCATGGAATATTCAGGGTGAGAGCAGTTCCCTGCTGCCAGTGACGTCTGATCTTCCATCAGGCTGTGAGCAAGCTGAAATGTCTATTTCAACAAAAAATATAGACCTTAATGCTCAGGAAAGGGAAACCCCAGGTAAGTACAAACTCCTATCGTTATTATGTTTGTACCAGCAGATTTGTTTTTATTTCACTATGCCCTTTAGCAAAGCAAGTTCCTTGCCAGAGGACTTGGATTATAACACTCTAGTTCCCTTAAACAGTTTGCAGCTAGAGGCTGTGTAGGAGCAATTAGTGAGTTCTAAATAAATTACTTTGAAAGTTAAGTTGTTCCTCTATTATAGTCTGTGTGCTGTTTTTTAAATACAGCGCTTGAGCTCTTCTCATAGAGCCGATTGATTCAGACAAGGAGCAAGTATTGACTAATTAGATTAATATTTTAAACTTAGAAATATGTAATTGTAGATACTAATGTTTGTTCATTGAACTTGGATTGAAATGGAAATGAATCGGCTTTAATTTCGCTTGCAAATATCACTGAAGCTGCAAAATACTCCTTTGCTTTCCGGTTCGCTCAGTTCTTTAAATTCTTCCTCAGGGACCGTTTGCTGATTGTAAATCATCGATATGCTTGAGAAAATGCCCATGCCTGGAAAATAAAGTTCTGTTTGCAGCTGGTGCTCAGACCTGTTGCCCAAAGGAACACAAGTCAGAGGTTATTCTCTGGTTTTGTTCAGATGTGCAAAGTCAGTGACTGTAAGACTTCAGATGCAGGTCAAGACGCATTGCTATAGAGGCAGAGATTGCCAGCGTAAATATAGATCTCAACAGGAACGCGGAAGGCCAGTCTTTTTCTTCTTCTCATACCAAGGTGTTCAAGGTTCAGATTTCCACGGGCAAGGCTTCTTATTTTTTTCCTCTAGTTGCTTGTAAATCGGTGAATTTTTTCTTTGTAGTTTGGAGAACGTTCAGTATCCCTACCAACTCTACATTGCTCCTTCTACCAGCAGCACAGAGAGACCCAGCCCAAATGGTCCAGACAGACCTTTTCAGTGTCCAACCTGCGGGGTCCGGTTCACTCGCATTCAGAACTTAAAACAACACATGCTTATCCACTCAGGTAAGAAACGTTACTGTTTCCAGGATTTACTGGTTTATAGACTCACAGAGGTTTGCTCACTGTGCAGCAAATATAATAATGCAATTCTTTTTTGATCGCCTGCCAAGTGCTCGAGAATTGATTTCAGAAAGGTTGGGTAGAGGTATGTCTCATTGAATGCTTGTTTTGATACATCAAATCTGACTGATAGCTCTACTCATGGATGATTAGCGTTTGTGTGGACTGAAAAAAATCTGGTTGCCTGAAACTCATCAGAATAAGTCATTTTCACGGTAAAGATTTGAGATGAAATAAAGTCTACTTGGCTTTTTTATTATACTAAAGAAGAAGAAATTACTCCTCTTACGTGTTGTAATTGTCTGCTATGTTTTAGAGGAGACTTGCAGGTAATATAGAAAATATTATCTATCTCACGTCCTTGCATTGAAGAATGTTGTATGCCTTTGGCTCCCAGAATATTTGGAGGGATTGCAGGACAACTGAATTGGTTTGATGATCAATTTAGCTACTACAGATAGTACAGGTAGCAAAAGGTTTGTGTGAATGCCTCCTCTGAGTCTCGGTCCCCAAATTGTTGCATTCATTTTGATTTCTAATCTAAGTATGAACTCCGAATGTCTTTGCTATCAGTGTTTCTCACGACTTGTCAGCATTATCTGGCAACAGCATTGACATTTTAGTGAATGAAGGGAATATTAAGGGGTTATTGCACTTGAGCACTAAGTCTCGTGGTTTAGCATCTCCTGGTTTGAGCTTGACTCTTACCTGCACACAGATGCTGTACCATTTTTGGGCAGAGCAACCACAAGTGTCAAGGTGTAATTTTTTCACTGTCAGCAGTTATTTGTCAAATCCCTTCAAGCAAAATGACCGTACTGTGTTTAGGCCAGCAGTAGTAGTACGTGTTTAATACTTAAAAAAGCTAACTTTGTGGGCATATCGGGTGCGAAATTATCCCAAGCCGGTTGCTAGAGTCTTAACTGAGAGCAGACAGACAGACTTCAGCAGAGCATCTCTGGCCGGCCTGTCAACTGGCAACCCCTGGGCAAAGTTGGGAGAGATTTGAATAGCTGGTTTAGAGTAATTAGCATGCAAAAGAAACTCTCAAAACTTGTAAATGTTGAAAGTGTTTTCACATAAGCAAAATGGCTGAAGAGATTTTCCTCAGACTATCAGAGGAAACAGATGCCCTTGGACAGTACGAACACATGAAAAGTTTTAGCTCCACAAGGCAATATTCTGGTATATTAACTTGTTTTCACATGCTTAACAAGGAGCTTCAGTGTAACCTTAACTACAGCTTTCTCTATAAAAGCCCCAATTAAAAGTTCAGCTCCTGCTTTGAGCATGAGGAAAGCAGAGTGAAAGACTGGTGGAATTAACAGCCTGGACCGATGCACATTCGGCCTTTTGAAAAAACCTTTTTTATTCCTTGACAGCCCTATTATGAATAGAGCTCCATATTCCAGATTCTTGGCCTCATGTTTGGATTTCCACACTTTTTGGAGTTCAGACTTTTTATTACATCTTAACTTTTTGGTGATTCAGTCTTTTAATTTGTAATAGTTCTGTTTGGGTGTGATTATGTACTCTCAGCCATTGCAACATGTTACAGAGCTCGTATGTTTTAGGGTTTTATTAGTGCTTGTAATAAATGAAAAGTGAACTAGTAACAGAAATTCTAAATTAATACGAGAAAAAAATGAGAGGCATGAACCTAAGCTGTCCTAGAGAGCTGTCTGTCATGCAAAGTTGCTGAAGATTCTTGTATAGAAAGGTTCCCATGCAATATAAAGGCTGCCACTTCACCCTTTTATCACCATTCCTGAAATACAGGGGCATCCTTGTGCACACAGTCCCCCTGCCAGAACACTTCTCTGAGGCCAAAGGCAGCCAGAAAACGACATTGCAATTAAGGGTCGTCTGATAATCGCATTGTTGGGAACCAGTCTGGCACAAGAATCTCCCGAGATCAAAAGAGTTCAAAGATGGTTCGAGGTGACTGCTGCATCGGATACCTTTTGGCTGTGGCTCAGGATCTTAACCATAGTATAATCCACGGAGGCTTATTTTCATTTTAAACCGTGGGGAAGAAGACGTGTAAGCGTTACGGACAGGTCACATTGTTCTGACATCTATTGGCAGTTGGTTCTGAGAAAGTGTAGCTCTGTGATAATTGTTTCTGCCATTTTAAAGTTAACCAGAGAATTTCTTCCTAAAACAGCGCTTCGCTGTGACTGGCCACAGCTGCTGCCTTTTTACTCTTAGAAATCTGGAAGGATTTTGCCAGTGACCTCTCATTACAGAAGGTGAACGTTTTTTTGCTCTCTCTTCCGCAGGCATTAAACCATTTCAGTGTGACCGCTGTGGGAAAAAGTTCACCCGAGCTTACTCGCTAAAGATGCATCGCCTGAAGCACGAAGGTAAACGCTGTTTCCGGTGCCAGATATGTAGTGCCACTTTCACTTCCTTCGGGGAATATAAACACCACATGCGGGTTTCCCGGCATATTATCCGCAAGCCTCGGATTTACGAGTGCAAAACATGCGGCGCCATGTTCACCAACTCTGGAAATTTAATCGTTCACCTGAGGAGCTTGAACCATGAAGCGTCAGAGCTAGCAAACTACTTCCAGAGCAGGTGAGGTGCACAGCAAAAACCTAACAGGGAAACTTGCTTTTTTTTTTTTTTTATCCTTTTCTTTTTTTTTTTTTTTCCTAAATCATCTTTTCCTGCTTTCAGGGCAGCCTGCTGTGCCTCTCATCAGGTTGCCAGCTAATTCCAGTCAAATTCATTCTTGCGCCACTCTCTGTTATATCTGATCTGTCTTGCAGCATATAAGCTATATAGGAGGGCACTGAAGAATCGAGTGATATGCAGAAGCTGCTTCTGGGCTACTTAATTTCTCTTCTCAGTAGTACCTATGGACAGGCTAATGGTGTTAAGCCATAGCGTTTTATACTATAGTATCTGTGGAGTTCTGTGAATGATTTGCTATTCAAAATCTCGTACATAGCCTGTTCACTTACATAGGGAATAGACTTACTACTTCATTTTACGTACTTGCTCGATGGTGGATTTTGTGGAAAGATTGCATGACTCCATACCTTCTCTTTTTTCATTTTCTAGGTAACATATTACTAAATGATCAGACTGATAGGGTTTGAAACAGTAAGGGCCAGTTGGACATTTCTTGTTTATCAGGCCGCAAAAGACTTGGCGTATCTCACAAATGCACTTCACTGAAGACTATTTAAAAGGGTTCTGAGGCATGAGACTAGCATTCTGTATTCTCAGATTGAAATAAATGTTTGTAACCGTTGGAATTTGAGATCGAAAAATACTAAAGTGGATGAGGGAAATTGGAGGAAGATGGATCTCACAGCTCTTAAATCTGTAGAGAGGGTGCTGCTTGGTGTCTGTAAGTCATCTGTCTTCAGCGATGCAAAAGAAATGTATTGTAAATGTTACGGCATCTACAATACCATCCCTCGTGATTTCTAGACGTTGTGCTTTTTCCCCTACAAAACTATTTCAGCATTTTGTTCTATTTGGTTGTGTCAGAAGTGATGTAGGATGAAAAAATTGCAAAACAAACCAGGAAAGCCAGTCACTGTTTTTCCAACAGAATATTGTTTAAAAGTACAAGTGCTTCATATCTGTGGGTTTATGCAGTTCTTGTTCTTAGCACTTGTGCCAGAACTAGAGCGAAAACTCTAAGGGATGATGCCATGATTGTGGTAAGCACTTTATTGTTGTCGTCAAATGAAAGTCAGATTAAAGTATGTGATTTTAGTTGTCTGTAGGCCTTCCTTTAGTTTGAACTTACAAACACTAGGTTTAGCATAGTTGATTGTGAATTTGGATTTGAAGCTGTGAATGCTGCTGTCGTTTAAGAAAAGGACTGCTTTTAAATGGATTATTACAAGGAGGAACCAAAGCATACCAATGTGCACATATGTAATGTATGTATACTTGCCTCAAGTACAAACTTACATGTCTGGTGCTGAAAATTTGCAAAGAAATTCTATTTTCGTTATGTGCTCATGCTCTGAAAATACTGCTGGAGGGTTCGGTAGATTTTCTTTGGATACACTCAGCCGTCAGTTGGTAAGAGTAAGTTACAGAACTGTTGTCCAGAAAGGACTGAAACGGGAAGGAAATGCAATTCCGTTCTTTTCACAGTAGCGTGATACGTGTCAACATCACAAAAAGCCGCTGTGGTTGGCAGCCTCCTTGTGCTTTCAGCAGAACCCTTGCTCCCTCGCCTCATGCTTCTGTTTACAGCCTGTCCACTCTGAGAGGAGTGCTGCTGCTGTTGCTTGGGTGGATCTTATCTCAGTGGTGGAAAAGGCCCGCATCTTTGCCAGTGCTGAACTCATTTTTGTTTCTATTTTTAAAGGTTGAGTGCTCCCTTTTTTCAATGAGGTTTTCAGTGCCATATGATGTTCCAGACATTAACTTTCATTCTCATCAAGGTGATACAATCTAAATAATAAGAAGTTGCTGTGTAGGAAATATGGATGCAAAACAATGCGAAATAGATGCCTTTGAATAAATTCTCTGTGTGTTTAAATGAGAACCAGGTTATAGTGCTTAGTGAAGTATGTCGCTGTGATGATCTTCGAGCAATGTGAAATGAATATCTCTGTTCTCTGTGCAATGCAGTATGTCGCTTGTGTGATGTAACTGATACAAACAAACTGATATCGCTAATGTTTGGGTGAGAAATGACATTTCTCTTCTGTCCTTTGCCCCTCTTCTAGTGACTTCCTAGTACCGGACTACTTAAACCAGGAACAAGAAGAGACCCTCGGGCAGTATGAGCTAGGGGAGCATGGCTTTGAAAGCAACTCTTCTGTCCAAATGCCTGTCATTTCACAGGTGTCGTCAACTCAGAATTGTGAAAGCACTTTCCCCTTGGGGTCTCTGGGTGGGTTGGCAGAGAAGGAAGAAGATGTGCCAGAGCAGCCAAAGACTAACGCCACTGCTGAGGCAGCCGCAGGTGACCCTCCGAAACCGGAGCTGTCATCTATTACTATTGAATAATTCATGGTTTGGTTTCATTTTTGTTCTTTGGAAAGTGCCTGTGTTTGGTCCTGTACATTTTAATTTAATTTTTTTAAACAAAAGTGGGGAGATTATCCCTTTTTACTTTGTAAGCTACGCTTTAAACAGAAAACTGCAACAGATGTTACATTATTTTTCATGACTGAATGATCACTTCTGTGAAAATATTTAAGACTGAATGCACAAAAAGATCTTGTCAGAACATCATGGAAGCTGTGATACACTTCTAAAGAAGAACAACTGATTCAGATCACTTTAACTATTTCTTCTTCCACAGTTAGAGCAGCTCATTAAGTTTCTCTTGCTTCTGCAGACCCTCTGGTTAAGGGAAAGAAATCAGAGGAAACCTTTTTAAAATGACAAACAAAAGGATGCATTGGAAATCGTTATTGAACAGTTTTGACTAGTTTTGAGTGGATGCTTTAATCTTCTGCACAAAAAAATGACACTTCCTATCTCTGTGCCTGCTGTTTTTCAAAGCGCTTACTGTAACCCTTTTCTTGGAAATGGTAAGCATTTTTGAAACTAACAGTCACACATTTTTTAAAAACACATTGTCCCTTTTCATCTCAGATGAATCAGTTTTGACAAACCAAGTGATGTCATGCCAGGTATTCCTACGTCTTATATTCCAGTCCTTCTAGAAACTGCTTGATCAAACAGCATGTCCAGATTTGCCCATCTAAGGCTAGGCATGGAAACACTACGGTCAGGAAAAGTCTAATGGTGCATAATGAATTGAGGATGATAGAAAAGTACATATCCGTGCAAGCCTGACAAATCTCTCGTGACTGTATCTTTCTGTAGAAGGGGAACCACGTATGAAAACAAAGGTTTTTCCAAACTGAAATTCTTAAATCGTGGCCAGATTGTTTGCGGTTCTGGTCACTTCCCCCTGCCACATATACTGTATTTTTACTAATCTCCAAACGCTGGCTAGAGGGAGTTTACAGATGGGAAAAAATGAGCTCTTTTGTGCATTATTGCACATTTTTTTGTTTATACTTCTGCATGTATAGTTTCTGAGATTTTTATTAGTCTGTTTTGGACAAAACAAGCAATTTATTCTCTTTAGAGGCCAACTTTCTAACCCAACAGGGGGTTGTTTACAAAAAGCCTATATAGCAATGATGAATTGTTCCTGTTTCAAAACATTTTAAATCCTTGCCAACTCGGTTTATTAAAGGCCATTACTCCAGCTACATACACAGCTCAAGTAAGCAATAAATTGAAAGATTTGCAATTTCATTTTTCCATATTTAGAAAAAGCTGCAAATTTAGGGTGTCGGATTTTCAGAGCAGTGAGTCTTGTTTTGTCGAGGCTGTTTGGGCTATAGGACTGCTTTGAAACCTAAATTAGGAAATACATTAGGAGGTTTGTGATTTTTTTTTTTTATTGCTTCTGAAGTTAACTCGGTGTTTGATGCCAAATGCCTATCGCCTACAGCTGACATGCTGAGCGAGTAGGTATTACTTGATCTTAGTATTCCAAAGGCATGATATACTCCCTTAGTTTTGAATCTTGTTTTTTGAAATTGTTGTTTTCTGCCCGGGTTTGTTTTACGCAAACATGAGGAGGAAATGAAACCAACAGAGAAAGGTTGCTCCTGAAGAAACAGAAGACACAAAAGTCGTATTATATTGCAGGATCAATTTGTATTCAGTTAGCTTAGGCAGCTCTGATACTCTGTAGGTCGGAGTTGTTTCTACTAATAGCCAATTTTTGTAAGGAAAAGAGTTAATTGCCCTTTGGAAAGAGCTTAAAGGGTTTCAGTGAGTTTAACAATTTTTCTCTGCTGTGTTTTAGGTAAAAAACACACATTTTAGTTAAATAGAGTGAAAACAGTTGGGATTTAAGTCCTTTCCAAGTTACTGGAATGAAGTTTCTCCACCAGATCTAAAGGGTGTTTTAGAAACATGCTGCAAAGAAGTTCTCTGCTACAATTCAGTCTTGTATATCTACCTTTGTAAGTCTTAAAAGGGCTTGAGGGAGAAATTCTTTTTTTGGGATGCTGTACTGTGAATTAGTCCAGTGCCTGTTGATGGGCTGAATTTAACGACCAGTTCTCTTCCACTTCCGATTTCTATAACTGAGAAGCCAGTGAGACAAGACAATGCCTTTTGCTGAGTTTTATCCCGAATTATAGGGCTGTGACACTGAACTCAAATACAGAATTTTCTTTTTTTCTGATAAGCGTTACTCTGCAGGTATATGAGAATCCTTTGTGATTCATGTAGTAAAAAGTACTTCACACAGAAACACATTTCCAGACTGTACGGATGTAATAATCAAAGGCGGTCAGATGTAGATGGACATAATCTTCTGTTCGAATCTGACCATTTTCACCCGTTAGATATTTTGCTGAACAGTTTATCGGTGAGGAGATGAGCAAATACAGAACAGACATATCTGGATATTGGATTTTGAAGACTTAAAATTTTGTGTCAGAAGGCAAACTGCTTTCTGAATACCAAAGAGAAGGGGGAAAAAAAGTTAAAAAGACTTTGTAGCTCTAATCTGTTCTTCCTTGAAAAGAAATGAGTGTCACTAACTGTTAACACCTTGGTACAAGGCAAGTCATGGGTTTCCTTGTTCATTGCACTGTGTTACACGTTATCTTTGCAACCCTGTAATCTCTGTGTAACATCTTAATTTAGTTCTCGCTTTTCAATCTGATTCAACTGCAGGAACAATAGCGTTCTTAGAGGATTTTGTTTGTTTGTTTGTTTTAGGGTTGGGTTTACTTGTTAATTTTCCTGTTTGTAATCGTTTCTTGTTAATATCTCTCTTCTCCATAGAAGTGAACACAGATTAAATACAAATACCGTCTTATTTTTCCTCCCTAACTTGTTGGAAGTGTTCAGTTCTTTGAAATGCTGTTGTTCTTCACAGGAGAGATGTAAAAACATAGGACATCTTAAAACAATCTCTGTTGCTAATATGCTTAGATTCCAAATTGAGCAAGATAGATATCTAAGCTAGAAGAAACTTGCCTTAAACTACACTTGGGATTAAACCTAAAGCATAAATTTCTTTCAATACATTATCAGAGGGTTTTGAACTCCGGACTGCATTTTCTTTTTTTCTCTTTTTTTTCTTCCCCCCCCCATTAGTATGCATTTATATTTCTGTTTGACAAGGATCACAGAATCACAGAATAGTTGAGATTGGAAGGGACTCTGGAGGTGATCTAGTTCAACCCCCGTGCTCAAAGCGGAGTCAGGGAGAGCAGGTTGCTCAGTCCAGTCAGATTTTGAATATCTGCAAGGTGGAGACTCCCCAGCTTCTCTGGGAAAGCTGTTCCAGTGTTTGACCACCCTCACCGTAAAAAAGGTTTTAGGATGTTTGGGTGGGATTTCTCGTATTTCAGTTTGTGCCCACTGAGAAAGGTCTGGCTCCACCTTCTTTACCCCCTTCTATCCGGTAGTTTTACACATTGGTAAGATCCCCCTGAGCCTTCTTTGATGGGACAAAACAGTCCCATCACGCTCAGCCTGTATGGCAGATGCCCTAGTCCCTTCATCGTCTTTGTGGCCCTTACAAGTTGTTCAGAATTTCTTCCAAGTAGCTACAACGTATGACCCATCGCAGCAGTTTCTTTGTCGATGAGTAGTCTCCAAATTCATTCCCAAAGTGATTTATGTGTTGCTTTTGCATATCCTTCTCCCCTGTGGCACCAATCTTTGCACTCAGTGGAAAATCCTTTCCTCACCCATTTATTTTGCAGAGTGCCTTCACTACCACAGAACTAGCAAGGTTCTGCCGTATGCCGGGGACCCGGATTCTCGGAGTCTGTGCAGGGTCTTTACTCCTTGCCTATTGTGTAGAGCAGTACATCCGATGGGAACAATGGGAAAGGAAGGGATAGGTTTTTTCCTGATTTAACGTGGTGTTTTGGGAGAGGGGAAAAAATTCAGGAGCTTTCTATTTCCCCGCAAAAAGTAGAAGAAAAAGAAGTGATGTTTTAGCCGTGGGGGAGATTTGGCGAAGTTGTAAGGGTTCGTTTTGTTTTTCGATGCAGACACATAGCACGGGTCCCCTGGAAATCCATGGGGATGCCTACACATTTAGCAAATGAAGCTCCCCGTCAGAACTGCTTGTCACTGTTCTTACACCGCATTAAAAAAGATGTGTGTTCCTGAGGATTTGTCTGTCTTACTACAGTTTGAGTTCAGTTGTCAGGCTCACAGGTACTATGGTCAAGTCTCTCATACTGAGAGATTAGTAGACTAGGTTATTGAAAATGGTTCTGGGTTCACATGTATCTTGAGTCTAAAAGGTGTGAATTTAAACTTTTTAAAAAAGTAATAGCTGCCAATGCAGTAAAATATATTTTATAAGACTATGATCCCTATATGTCCCTTACGGGATAAAATTTTATTGTTTTTAAGCTATGGTTTAAAGTTTTTATATGAGGGCTTCAGTCGCTTCTTGGTTGCTGGCTTTCCCCTCCAGCCCCAGGATGTAAGAGCACTGAGACTATTGCCGGTCTCTCTCTGAGACGAACCATGAAGCATTTTATATGCAAATAGAACGGGAGCTTTGTGCACCCTGCAGGGATGGAGAAAATGCAGATGTAGGAGCGCCTGTTGCTCCTACATCCGTTGCAACTTCCACACCATCAGAATATGGAAAATAGCTAATTTTCATTCAGATCGGTTACGTTCGAGTTTTGCTTACAAGGTGAAACCCAGTTTTGGAGGGTTCTCATCTCCAAGTATGGACATAATAAATTCCATAGCATCTCGATGACAGATAAGAGGGTTCAAGGCCGGACGGTGCCTCAGCCACATCAGAGGTCCCTGGTAAATAGAGTCGGTTCAAAGTATTTGAGGAAATGTACCATAAAAAACAAATGTGAATTTTTTTAATGCAACAGTACTTACCGCTCTGGGTTTTTGTTAACTCAATGTGTGCTATCACAGTAATTCAGTGTCCCACAGGTCTCAACTACAAATCTGGTTGCACTAAAAAAAAAAAAAAAAAAAAGCCGAATCAGTTTCTGGTGCTGCCAGCCTGTGTGGCAACTGTACCTACAGTCTTCCTGAGGGTTGCTGAAGTCCCCAGAGGAGTGATTTTGTTTAACCATTCGTTTAGCTGATGCATGCTTTTGATATTCTGACTTATAGCCCTGGCTACACAAAGTTCTTGGACAGCTTCTTTGCCCTGTTCCTGCAGTGCCTTCACTCTAGGTGCTGCCCTATGGTGAAACCCCGAAGAGGGAAAAGAGTAAGCTGGAGGAAAAAATGTGAATTAAATTATTGTTGGGCTTCTTTGTGCATTTTAGTAACAGTGAAACCCCCTTAACTGTGCCAGTCTCCGGTCACCAGCCGTATATCCAGTCGTCATCTCATCCACAGTACAGCTTCTCTTGTTGATGCTGGCCACAGCTAGATTACTTGGCATGTTTATTGACTTAACAGAATTGTTTTTTGGGTTTGGTTTTGTTTTTTAATGTATACGATGTTTAAATACACTTCACATTTTATATAATACTATCTGGCTATTAGTATTTTTCAGGAACCATAGTTCTTGGTGGCTATATATATTTTTGTGACTTTTTTTGTAAACTAAGTGCCGTTTCAACGTTACAATCATTTTTAGAGTTATTGTAATCAATGTGAATATCATGTTTTTTCAAATCTGTTCTGAGCCTGTAGTGTTTGCTTTGTGATCATATGTGTAATGTATATATTCTGTATAGTTACATTGTATTGAAATACTAGCTTGTTTGATATAAGAAAAGTATGTATTGGGTACCTTTTTGCTAGCCTGGTTGTTTAATCTTTAAAAAAAAAATGTTCTAAAATACAAAAAAAAAAAAAATCTCCAAACTGGTCCCATTATAGGTCAAAATTAAGGGGGGAGAAAAACTAGTTTTGAGTGTCTTTGGATAGAAACATGAAGCTAAGATTTTTCATTAAAATATTAATGTTTTATGGAGTATATCTTTGCTTTGTGTCGTTATTTAACTATACCAGAGTTTGTCTTGTAGCACAAAAGACTAGCTTTGACCTTGTGTAAGAAGGTGCGACTCTGTTGCTAGAGCTACATTCTCTTATAACTTTTGCTTATAATTAGTCTCAAAATAGTTGCGTATGTGGAGAAGTCACTGTTGCCGAAGCTGTCGTTGGGAGGAAGGTAGTTTAAAACAAAATAAGCATTAATAAATGATTGGAGAATTACATGAGTAAAGAGTATTAAGAATAAAGTACACGTTTCTGTTTAATTTTCCATTGTATATTACATTTGCTTTTGTTAATGTTCTCTTTTAGGCTGTATTCTGCAAAAGCGGTGGGGCCATCTTTTGAACGGGGTTTTGTTGATGGAAAGCCAGCCAAGAATGAGCCTAATAATCAAATTAGTCAAAGCAGAAGATGGTGTTTAAAAAGGACAGTAGACAGAGTCATCGCGATCGCAGCTGTGAGCTTCAAAATACTCATGAAACAGCCTAGAGTCATGGGACTTAACATACACCTCTGCTGTTTCTGGCAACCCTTGCAATTAAATTAATTTGCCTCCTACAGACCCACCTGTCTGACCGAGCTGGAAAGCTGGCTGGATCCACACATAGCTAGGGCACAGGTAGGAAAATGGAAGTTTTGTAACTGCTTGGCTGAAACGATTGTAACTCTGCCCGGTAGCCTATATGAATAACAAGCAGGCTGGCATGATTAATACACTAGCAGTCAAATTGTGTTCAGCATCTGACACGGGAGTGGAAACGAAAATGGAAAAGCATTCCGCGGTGCAGAGTAAGCAGCCGCAACGAACCTTGGATGGGGGAGTTTGAGAGTTTCTGAATTCCGAGTTCTCATTTTCCTGAGGACCTTGCGTAGGGACAGAAGTATTTTATCAAAAGCGTAATTGGAAGAGGGAACGTATCTGGTGAAGGCTTTGGAGAGAATTAAGTTTGAGATGCAAAGGCTTTGAGTCTGTTGGTCTCCCGCAAAAGCAAGATTTTTGCTTCTTTGAAGACAGACAGACCCAGTTAGGAGTATGCAGTGATGCTTAGCAGACCATTACAAATCTAAAGCCTTGTATGACTGTATATGAACATATACTATCATAAAGCTAAGGCAAGACTGCTGAAATGCATACCTTTGATGGATATCGAGGTTCAGACTTGTGACTCGAGTGGATTTTTCCAAAGCAGAACCGTATGTTTAAGTTTAGCATGAAACATCTTTTAGACGTCCTTAACGAAGCAAGTGTACACTATTAAAGTTTTTCTGTGGCTTCCTTAGAGCGTTTAAGCGTTTTATTCCTGACAGTAACGAAGTACTATTTCTTTTGCACAGAGGAGAGTGGCTGAGATGAGATTGAACTCATAGCTACCGAGAACGTAGTAGAGCAGGGAACAGAGTTCTCCCAGGGCTTACTGCACCATTCCTACGTATGTGGTATCCTGGTGAAAATGAACCTGCTAAGAGAAACCTGGCTTGGATTATGTATAAAGCGCTTTTCCCAAGGTGCTTGTGCGTGCGGCATCTCCAGAGTACCGAGCATGACTCTGTCATCACCATTCTTAGAGCAGAGATCGCTGTGAGACCATGAGCAAGCAGAGCAGGGGTAAGTGTGTACCTGCTAGAGCCTCGGTTACAGCTCAGAGACACGTGGTTTTCAGTCATTCTGATTTTTGGGATCTGTTAACACTTTTTTCAGAGGAGACACGCACTCTCGAATAGCACATGTACACTTACTGACAGTAGCCCTGATTTTCTTAGTTGCCTTTCACAAATCCTTTCGAAATAGGCCACAGACACCCAGAGTGAACACCGTGTGTTTGAAAACCACTCTAAAGGCTTGAGTTAACTGCCTCTGATCGTGAGTTGCCTTTGTCTCAGCCACAAGGTCTCCCGGTGAAGATCGGAGAGCAACTCGCGGGGCATCTATTTGTGTATCTCACTTGAACCTTTACCTCTGATTGTTGAAATTTGGTCTCTTCTGTCCAAATTTTGAAGTTAATGACCTCAACGTAAGAGAGGTGCTATGCTCAACTGTATGTTAATTTGTGTGGCTGTGCCACTATCTCTGACTCTTAGACACCCCCCCCCCCATTTCGAATACAACTGATTGGATTTATGTGGGAGTATCTTTGAGAATGCATCCGCTGCATCTGGCTAAACTGCATTCCCAGTCTTCCATATGGCTGCATAAAGCTAGATGCTCAGGCCCCGTGTTTTGTAATACTCCGATCATTTAGAAGATAACAGTTTTTTTCTCACAAAGTACTGCTTGTTCCCCTGTACACGCACGCGCACGCACACACACACACAATCTGTATGTGCTCATTCAGAAGGAATTTTGAACAACGACCATACAAAAACATCGATTGACCAACTCTTTCCTTGCTGCTTCCCTACAGAAACAGCTGGTATTGCTGTCTTTTTCTTGGTTAATTCTCATCGGATGAAGCGGGTTACTAGCTTAAACCTCCGGCAAGAAGCTTCTTCTGTTAGCCCTTACAAACTTCTCTTGAGTTTGGAGCGAAAAGGAGAGGCATGGTTTCCTGCGATCCTGTGCTCATCTCTAAACAAGCTTCTCCTCCACAGGGAGGCAGGACTTACGGACAAGATATTAATTGTAAGGAAGCAGATACATTTTGTGGTCTTGAGAGGGGGTTTTTTGGAGGGGGGGAGTGTTGATGGGACTTCAGGATATTTTTCTCTTGAGTTTTTTCTCTGCATAGACTGACATTTTCCAGACTGCTGCTAAGAAAAACCAATGTCAGCCTCAAACAGATTGTTGTTAAGTATGAAGGAACATTGAATAAGTACGGGCAGTATTCATTTACGCCAAAACAAAGTACAGTCCTTAATTATTTGTTGGCTTAAAGCATTTATGTCTGCAGTGCAGGATAGCTTTCAAACCACCTTGGGCCCAAGATAGCTGTGAGTATGCCCCTGGCATTCGTGCCTCTAGGAAGACAGAAAACTAATGGTAAAATGGATCATCTGAATTCTTTGGAGGCAGGGGAGAAGTCTCCCAGGTGAGTACCCCTCTGAGGCGAAGGGGAATAACCAGAAGTGTTGGGAGAGGAGCAAGGAAACCATGACGTGTTTGTGGGCTGGTGGAGGAGGTGGCGCTCAATTCCAGGATCATTTCTCTGTGTGTAAGTGAAGAAGACATTTTGACACACACACACAAGGAGAAATGATCCCTCGGGGTTTGATGCTACATCGCTGAAGGGTAACAGTCCACTGGCTTCAGAAGAGCAAGGTAAATTACAATTCCAGTCCACTTCAGCATTTAAATAGTCTGCCTTTCCAGAAATGTGTTTAAATCGCTCCTTAAGAGCTTACCCATTTTGTGAACTTTACTTTTGCCAGTTGCTTCTCTGACTCAGCACAGTGTCTTTTATAGCCTGTGTATTAATGGGGTGCACAGAGCTGGTTTTGGAGAGTTTCTGTGCATAAACAGACCCTTGCACTGTGTAAAACAAAACCGGAGAGAAAAGACACCAAAGCACCGGACTAATAGGCAACAGAGCTCAGAAAACCAAAACATCTCTCCAGGGTAGGACTTCATCTTCCCACAATTTAAATGAGAAAAATCACAAAAATCCTAACAAAACCTTTTATATAACTCCAGTGTGGCAGTGATCAGTTTCAGGGTTGACGTGACAGCAATTATAAACAACAGTTATGCAACTGCCTCCTTGATTGAATTGAAATTAATACAGAGAAAGAAAAAGCCAAACAAAAAGAAATGGCTTTGGGTTGACTTGTTGTGTTTTAAATAAATAAGAAAATGCTCAGGTCAGCCTCTTTTTCAAAAGCGAGCGCAAGCCCAGGGTGAAAAATCCCCTTGAAGAACAGGCAAAGTGTTTTTTGGGTTTTTTTTTTTTCTCTTAAAAATTCTATTTTTTGTTAGAGGCAGAATTTTGTTTATCTTCTAAGGCTTACAGCTCCTTGTTATTTTTTATCTGACAGTGAGGTAATTCAATATTTTAATTTCGCTCCAGTTCCTTTTACTTGAAAACTCTTTTTTTTTTAAAACTGTTTAACACACTGTACCATTGGGTATTGTGATTCCAGTGTCACTGATTCACGCCATCGGAGGAGAAGGCCCACGTACACGTGTGCGCGTACACATTATTTCCTCCACTGGCCATCTGGCAGGCGTTCGGATGTTTTTGAGTGGGAATGAAGGCAACTTGGCTGCTGCGCGCTGCACCGGCAGCGTCTGGTATCTCAGAGAGGAGTGCTTCCTTAGAGTAAATACCGTTTGGTAGCGCTTGAATTCATGTAAAGAAAACTCGGGGAAATTCTTAGTCTAGCTGGCTGTACTGGCAAAGCCTGAGTCCTGCCTGTATTGTACAGGAGTTGTGCCCAGCTCATTTTCTGTGACCTGTCTGATAGAGGCAGGATGCAGTTACTGTTCAGTACCATTAATGGTTTTGTGTGGACATGAGCTGACCTGGAATTAATTTGCTGTTGTGAGGTAGGTGTATAAAACAATGCCAGGGTGGATCTCTTACCAAAGAAATCCTCTGGCTTTTCTGTTTCTCCAGGATTTCTCTTGTTGATCCAGGGAATAATGCATTCAGGGAGAGATGGGGGACAGGAATTAAACCTGTTGTTTCTTTGCTCCTCCTCACCTTTTCCACCCTGAGTAGTAGGAGGCAGAGGAGCCTCGAGCTTGTTGCTTCCACTGATAGAAAAGGAAGCAGATTTTGGAGACTCCTACGCAAGATGGATTTGCTACGCGTCCCACTGACATGTGTGCTAGTGTGAGTCATCCAGGGAATTCACTACCCTGTATGCAACAGGTTCAGTGAGCAAAGTGCCAAAGAAAACCTGCAGAATATAGAACGCTCGCTATTCGTACACGCATTCCTAGCTGCGATGAGCCTTTGTGCTGGAGTCCCTACCAGGTTTGCCACAAGAGGATGTTGGACAGGTGGCTTCATCCCCAGTAGCCTTGTTGTTGAGGAAAAAAGCTGATCTCAAAGCCACCTGCCTTAGCTGTTGAGTTTCCAAAGGCCACTTGTTTATACTTGTCTCTGCTAGGCCAGTGACTTAGTGTTGCGTATTACCCTCAGCGTGCTGTTAGGTGACGTGAAGAGCGCGGTCTGTGTAGCCATCTCATTGTCCTTGCTTGCCTCTGCCGCTTTCTTCCTTCGGTCTGTTGCTGTGGATTCTCAGGGAGCAAGGAAAAAGTGAAAGCTCGCGTGGCCTTTGACATCTCTCCAAGCCAGAAATAAAGCACTGGGAGGTTAAA